GGATGTCCTGGCCCTAAGCGAAACAAAGCTGAAGGGGGTAGGGGAGTTTCGGTGGGGGGAAATAAATGGGATTAAATCTGGAGTATCTGAGAGAGTTATAGAAAAGGAAGGGGTAGCAGTAATGTTGAATGATCAATTATGGAAGGAGAAAAGAGAATATGAATGTGTAAATTCAAGAATTATGTGGATTAAAGTAAAGGTTGGATGCGAGAAGTGGGTCATAATAAGCGTGTATGCACCTGGAGAAGAGAGGAATGCAGAGGAGAGAGAGAAATTTTGGGAGATGTTAAGTGAATGTATAGGAGCCTTTGAACCAAGTGAGAGAGTAATTGTGGTAGGGGACCTGAATGCTAAAGTAGGAGAAACTTTTAGAGAGGGTGTGGTAGGTAAGTTTGGGGTGCCAGGTGTAAATGATAATGGGAGCCCTTTGATTGAACTTTGTATAGAAAGGGGTATACAAGATATGATGTAGGGCGAAATGACAGTAGTTTGTTGGATTATGTATTGGTAGATAAAAGACTGTTGAGTAGACTTCAGGATGTACATGTTTATAGAGGGGCCACAGATATATCAGATCACTTTCTAGTTGTAGCTACACTGAGAGTAAAAGGTAGATGGGATACAAGGAGAATAGAAGCATCAGGGAAGAGAGAGGTGACGGTTTATAAACTAAAAGAGGAGGCAGTTAGGGAAAGATATAAACAGCTATTGGAGGATAGATGGGCTAATGAGAGCATAGGCAATGGGGTCGAAGAGGTATGGGGTAGGTTTAAAAATGTAGTGTTGGAGTGTTCAGCAGAAGTTTGTGGTTACAGGAAAGTGGGTGCGGGAGGGAAGAGGAGCGATTGGTGGAATGATGATGTAAAGAGAGTAGTAAGGGAGAAAAAGTTAGCATATGAGAAGTTTTTACAAAGTAGAAGTGATGCAAGGAGGGAAGAGTATATGGAGAAAAAGAGAGAGGTTAAGAGAGTGGTGAAGCAATGTAAAAAGAGAGCAAATGAGAGAGTGGGTGAGATGTTATCAACAAATTTTGTTGAAAATAAGAAAAAGTTTTGGAGTGAGATTAACAAGTTAAGGAAGCCTAGAGAACAAATGGATTTGTCAGTTAAAAATAGGAGAGGAGAGTTATTAAATGGAGAGTTAGAGGTATTGGGAAGATGGAGGGAATATTTTGAGGAATTGTTAAATGTTGATGAAGATAGGGAAGCTGTGATTTCGTGTATAGGGCAAGGAGGAATAACATCTTGTAGGAGTGAGGAAGACCCAGTTGTGAGTGTGGGGGAAGTTCGTGAGGCAGTAGGTAAAATGAAAGGGGGTAAGGCAGCCGGGATTGATGGGATAAAGATAGAAATGTTAAAAGCAGGTGGGGATATAATTTTGGAGTGGTTGGTGCAATTATTTAATAAATGTATGGAAGAGGGTAAGGTACCTAGGGATTGGCAGAGAGCATGCATAGTTCCTTTGTATAAAGGCAAAGGGGACAAAAGAGAGTGCAAAAATTATAGGGGGATAAGTCTGTTGAGTATACCTGGTAAAGTGTATGGTAGAGTTATTATTGAAAGAATTAAAAGTAAGACGGAGAATAGGATAGCAGATGAACAAGGAGGCTTTAGGAAAGGTAGGGGGTGTGAGGACCAGGTGTTTACAGTGAAACATATAAGTGAACAGTATTTAGATAAGGCTAAAGAGGTCTTTGTGGCATTTATGGATTTGGAAAAGGCGTATGACAGGGTGGATAGGGGGGCAATGTGGCAGATGTTGCAGGTGTATGGTGTAGGAGGTAGGTTACTGAAAGCAGTGAAGAGTTTTTACGAGGATAGTGAGGCTCAAGTTAGAGTACATAGGAAAGAGGGAAATTATTTCCCAGTAAAAGTAGGCCTTAGACAAGGATGTGTGATGTCACCGTGGTTGTTTAATATATTTATAGATGGGGTTGTAAGAGAAGTAAATGCGAGGGTCTTGACAAGAGGCGTGGAGTTAAAAGATAAAGAATCACACATAAAGTGGGAGTTGTCACAGTTGCTCTTTGCTGATGACACTGTGCTCTTGGGAGATTCTGAAGAGAAGTTGCAGAGATTGGTGGATGAATTTGGTAGGGTGTGCAAAAGAAGAAAATTAAAAGTGAATACAGGAAAGAGTAAGGTTATGAGGATAACAAAAATATTAGGTGATGAAAGATTGGATATCAGAGTGGAGGGAGAGAGTATGGAGGAGGTGAATGTATTCAGATATTTGGGAGTGGACGTGTCAGCGGATGGGTCTATGAAAGATGAGGTGAATCATAGAATTGATGAGGGGAAAAGGGTGAGTGGTGCACTTAGGAGTCTGTGGAGACAAAGAACTTTGTCCTTGGAGGCAAAGAGGGGAATGTATGAGAGTATAGTTTTACCAACACTCTTATATGGGTGTGAAGCATGGGTGATGAATGTTGCAGCGAGGAGAAGGCTGGAGGCAGTGGAGATGTCATGTCTGAGGGCAATGTGTGGTGTGAATATAATGCAGAGAATTCGTAGTTTGGAAGTTAGGAGGAGGTGCGGGATTACCAAAACTGTTGACCAGAGGGCTGAGGAAGGGTTGTTGAGGTGGTTCGGACATGTAGAGAGAATGGAGCGAAACAGAATGACTTCAAGAGTGTATCAGTCTGTAGTGGAAGGAAGGCGGGGTAGGGGTCGGCCTAGGAAAGGTTGGAGGGAGGGGGTTTAAAGGAGGTTTTGTGTGCGAGGGGCTTGGACTTCCAGCAGGCGTGCGTGAGCGTGTTTGATAGGAGTGAATGGAGACAAATGGTTTTTAATACTTGACGTGCTGTTGGAGTGTGAGCAAAGTAACATTTATGAAGGGGTTCAGGGAAACCGGTAGGCCGGACGTGAGTCCTGGAGATGGGAAGTACAGTGCCTGCACTCTGAAGGAGGGGTGTTAATGTTGCAGTTTAAAAACTGTAGTGTAAAGCACCCTTCTGGCAAGACAGTGATGGAGTGAATGATGGTGAAAGTATATATATATATATATATATATATATTATATATATATATATATATATATATATATATATATATATATATATATGCAATAAGATCACAGTAAAAAGGTGATTTCAGAATATGCAAAACAACCACTCTGAAAGAATAGAGAAATTCCAAGCGCTTTCGTGACTATTCACATTATCAAGGAACTATGGAAGTAAAGCATCCAAGGAAGCTATATAAGGGGTCTGGCCGGCACCTCACTATCAGATCCCACAACGGTTAAAACACCTGACGCGCGCCGACCCAACTTGGATAGGTCCTTTGCACAACTCACCCACAAACTATTCTACCCAAGAAAATTTAAAAATTATTATTTGTCCAGTGTATTATTAAATTCTTCCCAAATTCTATTAATTATAAATGGATCTAATTTATATAAACCAAAGGAAATATTCATATTAATGTCAAAACTGCTTTTTATGAAACAAGATTCAATTATATTCCTGTCGACCATGGACTTGCTTGATACTACTTTCTCAACTTTTTGAAAATCAATTGGATGGTTAAAATCTCTTACATGAATAAATAGAGCATTGGAATCTTGTCCAGTTCTAATGCTATATTTATGTTGTTTTAATCTTAGTTCGAGATTTTTACCAGTTTGACCGTAATAAACTTTATCGCAAATTTTACAAGGAATCTTATAGATACATCCATCAGCATTTTAGGGGGAATTCTTTATCAAAAGTTTTTTTACTGTATCAAGATTTTTGAATACAACTTTAATATTAAAAGTCTTAAGAAGAGAAGGCATATCAACCAAGTTTTCATGGTAAGGGAGAACCAACATATTTTTAGTTGAATAAGGCTGGTTGTCCCTTTTTGGATTGTAAAAAGTATTTCTAGCAACTTTAAAAGATTTATCAATTACATTTCATGGGTATTTTAAATCATTACCTATTTCATAAATTTTGGATATTTCCTCATCTATGAACTCAGGACTACAAATTCGTAAAGCTCTCAAAAACATTGATGAGAAAACAGACAGTTTGACTCTATCTTGATGCGAGGAATAATAGTGGACATAGGAACAGTTATTAGTAGGTTTTCTGTAAATTTTAAATTTGAATTCATTATTACCCTTAATAATTAAAACATCTAGAAAAGGCAATGAGTTATTTCCTTCAAACTCAACAGTGGTTGTTTTGCATATATATATATATATATATATATATATATATATATATATATATATATATATATATATATATATATATATATATATATATATATATATATATATATATATATATATATATATATATATATTCTTTTACATAGTACGAATGATGTGTAAATCTTTTACAGACATCCAGCACAAAGTTTTCATTTATATTTTGATTTCGGGATAAACAAAACAAAAAAAGTTGTTTTACAATCAACTAATTGTTTTTTTTTTATATGGGGGGCGCTCAAAATTTTGAATGCATACAGATTCCGAAATCGGATTCTGAATACAGACAGATTCTGAACACCGAGATATTCTGAATACGGACAGATTCTGAACACAGACAGATTCTGAACACAGACAGATTCTGAATACAGACAGATTCTGAATACAGACAGATTCTGAACATAGACAGATTCTGAACACAGAGAGATTCTGAACACAGACAGATTCTGAACACAGACAGACTCTGAACACAGACAAATTCTGAACACAGACAGATTTTGAACACAGACATATTCTGAACACACACAGATTCTGAATACAGACAGATTCTGAATACAGACAGATTCTGAACATAGACAGATTCTGAACACAGAGAGATTCTGAACACAGACAGAATCTGAACACAGACAGATTCTGAACACGGACAGATTCTTAACTCAAACAGATTCTGAACACAGATTCTGAACACACACAGATTCTTAACACACAGTTTCTTAACACACACAGATTCTCAATACCCAAATTTCGAACACCCAGATTCTGAACTCTCCGAATACTGAACGTATTATTTTGTTTCTTTGCAGTGACGACCAGACGTTTTGGAACGGCAAGTACCACGCACGTTCTCTCTACGTACGTTCCTTTCACCACGTACGCTGACTACACAGAACAGAGAACACCGCCGCCAAGGACAGACGTCCGTGTTCTTCCGAGTGGTCGTCCGTGTTCTCTCCGCCAGAGATGCGTGTTCTCTCATGAGTTGTTCTGTTCTTCTACAGGAAGAACATTGTAGAACATTAGATGTAGATTATATTGAAGAGCAAAGTTCTCATTCCTTGAGACTGAGAGACATATTTCACCATCTCTTTTGTCTCAGTGGATTAATTTGAGAGACATTTCTCATTCCTATGACATTGAATTTACTGACTGAGAGACGTCTCTCCTCACACAAAGGGTTAAATGAGAGACATCATCTCTCGCAATACAGGAGACTAACAGAGATAAACATCACCTCGGGTATCACAGAACAGCGATACTAGACAACGTTTCGCCGTACACAGAGCTTTATAAAGCTCTACTGTGGTTTTTAGTGAATAATAAAAGGCTTATGTGGTTTTTTGTTATCAGGAACTTATGTAAATTATCTTCGTAATATTTATAACGAATTACTTTTGGATTATCTCTGTATCATTTTGAAATGAATGAAGAGGGTATTTTTTTCACCCGAGAAAATGGTCTGGATTATTTTGGAGTGAGTTAAGAATCTTTGCCAAAAATGAAAGACTGATTTAGATGTAACGATGTTAATGTTTTTTTGAGGTTTTGTAAAGCTAAGAACAGATGTGAGGGAGGCAGGTGTTAGATGCTTAAACACCTGTGTGGTGTTGTAAGTGTTAAGGGAATCCTCGTTTGAGTGAAGAATGTTGAAGCTTTGAAGAAAGAGTCGAATTTACATTCTTAATTGTCTGTGTTACCACTAGCAACACTAGTGGACGGAAGCTGGGGTCTGTGTTACCACTAGCAACACTAGTGGACGGAAGCTGGGGTCTGTGTTAACACTAGCAACTCTAGTGGACGGAAGCTGGGGTCTGTGTTACCACTAGTAACACAAGTGGAAGAAATTAGACGCCCATCAAACATTGTCACACAAATGTTTGTACTGTCTATTCATCTTCTTGACAGAAGAATTAGTTACCTCTGATGTTTTTGTAGGTTTGTATCGTTGAATCTAAGAAAAAGTTAAAGCCGTCAGCTTTAACTCCATAATGTTTAATGAGAGATGACCAACATTCACGCTGTGGATGCTTACAGTCTCCTAAGGTCATAAAATGATGGGAGTATTGGTAAGACTGACTCTGTCCATCCTGTGGTGTGGCTCAGGTGTGGCTGTCGCAGCCAGGGAACACAAAGTAATGTGCCTTGATATGCTCCATCCTTTGGTCCAGAGTGAGTATAGACTCCTTGAGCGTCCTCATGACTGGAATGACGAAGTCTTGGTGAGGAGCGAAGATACTTCGACTACTGGTAGCGCTTATGCGAGGAAGCAAGAGGTTGAGGAGGCTGAGGAGCAGTTGAAATTGAATCACGGTTACCAAGCAACAGACCTGAATCATTACATCCTCTTGGCAACTTATGACTTCAGAATTCCTTCAAATATTTCCTTAGAAGATAGCAAAAATACTAGTGGTAGAGGATTGGATGGTGTTGTTTATCATGAGAAGAAAGACGAATCAAAACGCAAGGAATCGAGAAATACAGAACGGGTTTCACTGCTAAGTACAGACAATCCAAATGGGTTTGAGGGTCATAGCAGGGAAGAGACGGGCCGAGAAGGACTCGATAACGATATGTTTTTTGCAAATAAGGAACATGAAGTGACCGATATGTTCGACATTGATTTTACATTATTCACTTCAGAAATCACAGTTCCTTGCTGGTGGGTGTCTGGAGGCTCCAGTAAAAAGGAAAGTGCCTTCTTGACTGTAGCTCTTGTCGGCGGAGACTTCCTTGAAGATTCTGATAGCAGAGAAGAACAAATACGAGAGAAATATGGGGACTATGTCTTCAGGGTCGCTCGTGCCCATGAAAGAAAAGTTGAAAGCAAGGGGAAAAAGAAACTGGCAGATGCTGTCGAAGATGCAGGAGACAAAGCGACTATTCCGGAGACTGTAACTAGAGTGAATAAGGTATGGGCAGCGATAGAGGAACTGAGAAGTTTGTGGAGGTCTAAACCAGCTGCGAGATTTGTGCCTCACACGCCTGCCTCATCTCAATCACGGCATCAGCATTATTATCAGCACAATTCTGACGATTCATCTACGACAGGAAATAGTTCAAGCGAGACACAGGGTGCAGGAACTCCTGACGCTCTTCTGATGGACGACTCACACAAACACAGAGAGCAAATGAAAAACACACGCAGAAAGAGCAAGAAAACGGGACACTGTTGTGGAAGACAGGCAAGTGACGACACACACCCTCATAGTCCAGTACCTTTCACGGCCATCTATTCTCCAACCAACATCTCTGATGAGGTGTTCCCAGGGTCGCTGCCGGAGAGTAAACTGAAGTACCACCTTCGCTTCCCTTCAACATCCCCGTGGCACAGTTTCCGCCACGCTGTTGATTTCCACATGCTCAACACTGGTGTCCTTTACTTCCCCCTACTGACCGCCGCCACCTACCATCTTCCCCTACACACCTGCTTCCCTTCTGACCTTCCAGTATCTACCGACGACACCCGCTTTAATCAGCGCTCCCGATCGCGCACACGGAATCCAAACGCTTGTAAAGAAGGGAAACACAATGCAATCCCAGTCGACGTGAGTCCCCTTCTGCAAGCTTGGCTTCAAGAAAATCCGCCCTGGAAACGACACACATCAAAAATGTCACTAGTGATGTTCACTGCAACACATAACTCAGGACACCACATAGTGCCCAATACCAGTACACATGACTCCCAAAACAAACGTGGGAGTGAACTAGAAATTCAATCTACTGTCTCGGCCCCAGTTCCTGCCTTACATACCGTCCTCGACACGAGCAGCAGCAACTCCCCCTTACAAGACGATAATAGGCCTGCTTACAGCCCCTTACAGCCAAACATGGAGAATGACAGTCACAGGGCCAAGCTGGACGCCCTGCTCAGCGCCTCTCCTCCAAGGCTGTCACTCGACTACTGGCTGGACGGTAAGTGGACTCATTATAACAACCTGTCTTCTCATTATATTTTAGGTGACGGAGACGACGCTCCAGAGGACAACTGCTCATCATCCCTCTAGTTGGATCTTTCTAATTATTGGATCCATATTGTCAACTGCAGGTAAAGGAAAAGATGAGACACGTTGCCGAAGAGGCTTTAATTAGGGAAAACATTTCGCTCTGTGTTGAACTTTATCATGATTTGATAAAGCTATTCAAAGAGCGAAACGTTGCTGCAATAAAGGCTTATTCTGCAAACTAGATTTTTTCTTCATGAAAGTCAAAATAATAAGGATGAAAGAGGACAAAATTATTAACTAAAAAAAAAAAATAAGATTTTGATCCAGACTTCACCCAATATTTACGATTTTTATGACATTTTTAAATTAATTTTCAGAATAAGTAATTACAACAGATTTTTTTTCTTTTATCTCTTGAGGAGGCCTGGTCACAGACCGGGCCGCGGGGGCGTTGATCCCCGGAACTCTCTCCAGGTAAACTCCAGGTGGATCTCTCCCCTCTCTCTCTCTCTCTCTCACACACACACACACACACACACGCACACACACACACACACACACACACACACACACACACACCACACACACACACCACACACATACGTACACACACACACACACACACACACACACACACACACACACACACACACACACACACACACACATACGTACACACACACACACACACACACACACACACACACACACACACACACACATACGTACACACACACACACACACACACACACACACACACACACACACACACACACACATACGTACACACACACACCACACACACACACACACACACACAACACACACACACACATACGTACACACACACACACACACACACACACACACACACACCACACACACACACACACACACACACACACACACACACACACAGTTGTCATGAAGTGTAATAGTCTGGAGAGTGACTTAGAAGAGACAGAATCCATACATAGCTCTAAGAAGAGGTATGATAAATCACACACACACACTAATCCCCTCAGCATAATCCAGATATAGAAAGCAATAATCGCCTTGCATAGAGAACACTAAAATTACAGAATAATCAATAAATATCTCCGTACATTAATGTCAGTCTATTAAGTTAATTAACCACAAAGACAAGTGTCTGTCTGGCTGTCTCATCCACAAACACAAACACACGGGGCCAGGAGCTGAGACTTGACCCCTGCAAATACAAATAGGCGAGTAAGAACTTCTAAAAATACACTAACCTCTGGACAAATAATATTTATATAGAAGAGAAGAAACACTAAACGGGATCAGGAAAGTCACCTACTTAGACTGATTTGTACTGTTCAGATGACTGATTTATACCATTCAGTAAATACGTTATATGACTGACTTATACAATTCAGTAAATACGTTATATGACTGACTTATACAATTCAGTAAATACGTTATATGACTGACTTATACAATTCAGTAAATACGTTATATGACTGATTTATACCATTCAGTAAATACGTTATATGACTGACTTATACCATTTAGTAAATACCTTAGATGACCACTGAGAAAAATTCATAGTCTGTACAACACTGGAATACATTGATATACGCTAACACACGTGACTAACACACGTTTACTGTTTAAAGGGCGAAACGTTCAATTGAACTTTCATAGAGAAGCACTCTAACGAACAGAGACACATTTCCTTAACTGAAACACAAACAACCCAAACAGGGCTAAACGTCTTCATACGCTTCCCTCTCCCACGTGCGGGTTATTTACGCATAGAAACACCCTAAGGAGGGCGAAACGTTTTCCTTTGTCGACTGGGAAGAGGAGGTTTTCCCCCGTAGTTCTGGGTTACTCTTCAATAGGTATTCCGTGGGGACTTCACCCGTTGACTAGAAGACAAAGGACCTGTCAGGTCACCATAGCTTGTCTGTGCTTTATCTGTGACTCTGTCTTCCAGATCTCTGTCATGTGATTTCCAAAAATTATTGCGGGGGGTTCGAGTCAAAGGCTCCTTGTTTTTTTGATCTCTCATTGTGGGAGGTGCTGATAGAAAAGGGGGGGTAAGTAAATGGTGGCTTAAGTTCCCCTTGTCTTGTTGTCTGTCTGCTCTCTGCTCTCCTTTTCCCTCTCTCTCTTCTCCTCTCTCTCTCCATTTCGGCAAAACTGGGGGCGAGAGAAAGAAGGTAAAGGAGGATATTCTCTTTAAACATGAGGCTATAAATTTTGTGTGGGGTTTTGTGTGTGTGTGTGTGTTTGTGTGTGTGGTGTGTGTGTGTGTGTGTTTTGTGTTGGTGTTGTTGTGTGGGGTTGTTTGTGTGTTTTGTGTTTTTTTGGTGTGTTTTGGTGTTGGTGTTGTGTGTGTGGTGTGTGTTGTGTTTTGTGGGGTTTGTTGTTTGTGTGTGGTTGGTGGTGGTGTGTGTGTGTGTTGTGTGTGTTGGTTTTGGTTTTTTTGTGTGTGTTTGTGGTGTATGTGTGGGGTGTGTACTCACCCATTTGTATCACCCTTTTGTGGTTGCGGGTCGAGTCACAGCTCCCGGCCCCCCCCCTTTTCATGATTGCTATAGGGCCTCTCTCTCCCTGCTCCATGAGTTTTTAATCATACCTCGCCTTAGAACTATGTATGGTTCCCCCCCCCTACTTTACTTTTTTAGGGGTGTGTGTTTTTGTGTGAGTGTTTTTGGTGTGTTTTTGTGTGTGTGTGTGTGTTTGGTGTGTGTTTGTGTGTGTGTGTGTGGGGTTTTGTGTTGGGGGTTTTTGTTGTGTGTTTTGTGTGTATTTATGTGTGTGTGTGTGTTGTGTTTGTGTGTGTGTTTTTTGTGTGTATGTGTGTGTTGTTTGTGTGTGTGTTTGTGTGTGTATGGGTGTGTTGTTGTGTGTGTGTTTTTGTGTGTAGTGTTGTGTGTTTGTGTGTGTGTTTGTGTGTTATGGTGTGTGTTTTTGGGGGTGTGTATGTGTGTGTGGTATGTTGGGGGTATATATATATTATGTGTGGTGTGTGTGTGGTGTGGTGTGTGTGTGTGTGGTGTGTGTGTTGGGGTGTATGTGTGTGGTATGTGTGTGTGTATTGTGTGTGGTGTTTTTGTTGTGTGTTGTGTGTTGTGTTGTTTTTGTGGTTTTGTGTTTTGTTGTATTTTTGTGTGTGTGGGGTTGTGTGTGTTTTGTGTGTGTATTGGGTGTGTGTGTTTGTGTGTGTGTGTGTGTGTGGTTGTGTGTGTGTGTGTGTGTTTTTTGTGTGTGTGTGTGAGTGTGTGTGTTTTTGTGTGTTTGTGTGTGTGTGGGGTTTTGTGTTGTGTAGTGTGTGTGTGTGTGAGTGTTGTGTGTGTGTGTGAGTGTGTGTGTGTGTGTGTTTGGGGTGGTGTTTGGGGGGTATTTGTGGTGTGTGTGTGTTTGGGGTTTTGGTTTGGTGTATGTGTGGTGTGGTGTGGTGGTGTGTGTGTGAGTGTGTGTGTGTGTGTGTTGTGTTGTGTGGGATGTGTGTGGTGGTGTGGTGTGTGTGTGTGGTGTGAGGGGGTGTGTGTGAGTTTTGTGTTTGTGTGTGTGTGTGTGTGTGTGTGTGTTGTGTGGGGTGAGTGTGTGTGTGTGTGTTGGGGTGTGTGTGTTTGGTTTTGTGAGTGTGTTGGGTTGTGTGATTGAGTGGTGGTGTGAGTGTGTGTGTGTGTGTGGTGTGTGGTGGTGTGTGTTGTGTGGGGGTGTGTGTGGTGTGTGTGAGTGTGGTGGGGTGTGGTGTGTGTGTGTGTGTGGGTGTTGTTTTTCTTTTGTTTGTGGTGATTTGTGTATGTTTGTAGTGTGTTTTTGTTGTGTTGGTGTTTATTGGTTTTTGGTTTTTGGGGGGTTGTTTTGGTTTGGGTTTTGAGTTGGTGGTTTTGTTGGGTTTTTTTTTTTTTTGTAGTTTTGTGGTGGTTTTTTTTGTTTTTTTTTTTTTTTTTTTTTTTTTTTTTTTTTTTTTTAGTGTTTGTTTTTTGTTGTTGTTGGTGTGGAGGTGTGTTTTTTTAGTTTTTGTTTTTTTATTGTTTTGTTTTGTGTTATTTGTTGTTTATTTGTTTAGTGTTTTATGTTTTTTTGTGAAGTTGTTTGGTTTTTTTGTTATGTTTTTGGAGTGTTGTGAGTTGTTTGTTTTTTTTGTGTGATGTGTGTGTTTTGTGTGTGATTGTGTGGTGTGTTTGTGTGTTGAGTGGTGTGTAGTTTGTGGTTGTGTGGTTGGTAGTGTGTGTGTTGTGTGTGATTGTGAGTGTGTGTAGTGTGTGTGTGTGTGTGTTGTGTTGTGTATGTGTGTGTGAGTGTGTGTGTGTGTGAGTGTTGTTGTGTGTGGTGTGTGTTGAGTGTGTTGTTTTGTGTGTGTGTGTGTGTGTTTAGTTTTGTGTGGTTGTTGTGTTGTGTGAGTTTTATGTGAATGAATTTGTGTGTGTGTGTGTGTGGTTGGGGTGTGTGTGTGTGTAGTGTGTGTGGTGTGTGTGAGTGTGTGTGTGAGTGTGTGTGTGTGTGTGTGTGTGTGTGTGTTCACCCCATCAATATTTACTAATAACAAACCACCAAGTGTAATGACCATATCTTCCGTAAACAAACAGTTCACTACTTAACAGTGGTCATTACCTTCCCTGTTAGAACAACAGTATCGTGTTCCAAACGGCCGTTAGCTGTTGTTGATGCTCATTGCTAATGGTGGTGTTGAATCGGCTCTGTTACTCACCCGCTGTTGTTGCATTTGTTGTAAATAACAGACTGTATTCGCTTCCCATGAGGACCCAGATATTTACACCCAGTAAACACCAGGTAATGTAAATTAAGTCTGGTTATTTACACTCTGGATACATTCTCAATGTATACTCTATTTAGAGGCAATTGATTCTTTGTTAAAGCATATGTATAGTATCTTTCTATCTATATCTGAGAAACTTTTTGGCTGCGCAGCAGGCTTTGTGAATCTAACTTGGGAGAATAAAGATTAAATCAGTGGCGCTGTGAGGCGAGATTAGTGGAACTATAAAGGAATAATTAGTGGTGGTTGTATGAGATTACCTGTCTAGGTAGTGGAGAGGTAACCTCAGTCTTAGAT